TTTGGGGGTATTTTTGAGCTTATTATAAGATTTCCGCATTTTAGTGTAATGGTTTTGAGTTTTAAGCCGACTTGTCTTGGTGGAATAAGACGAGTGCCATCACGTCCATTTTTGGATCGTGACATGTGTCACCTTGTTTGGATTTTTGTTACCCGTTTCATTGTGTTGCGAAGATCTATATTAGTTTAAGCATATAGTTTACTTAAACTTGTTTCATATTGTTATAGTTATCATTATATAATATGAAACTGTCTAATTTTATATAAGGACTAATATGGTGTGATCGTGTTATCTTATTTTTATTTTCTTCAGTATTTTTTTATTTATTATCTAATAATCATATTTTTTTCAGTTATTATCGTTCAAATTATTTATATCTAACATCATATGACGGCCTAATATGATGCAATCTATTCGAACATTATATTTATCATAACAAAATAATAAGATGCAACACAAATCACAATACATCTCGAAACAACCATCCAAACAAAAAAACCCGGACATCCAAAACAATCTTATAGAATAAAAATGTGACTTGACTACCATTGGATTATCTCAAATATTAAATTGAAAGGCAGAAAATAACCCATTAAGAAGGAACTGAGGAAATACAGAAAAAAGGGTGCATTAAAAAAGTACAAGGACAATAGTATGACTCTTTTCCAGAGATATATTAATCACAAACATAGAATTTTATAAGTAAAATTATAAATGGATTCCATAAAAAGCAATGACTACTAGATTTTACTGGTAAAATTGCACATGTTTTCAAAATTGTACCATTTTTTGAGACATGAGGAAAAAGGAAAAAAGGTAAAAAAAAAAAATCATAATATATATTTAGAACATTTTACACTTCTAAAATTAGATTGAATTATAAACATCGAATCAAGAAAAATGTGATGTGAATAAATCAATTAGTTAAACAACATTATAAAAATTAATTTTGCTATTATATATTGTATACTAATTAATTCGAGCGCAATTGTCGAAAAATCATACTCGTTTCAGGTATACAAGCTTAAAATAAATTAATTTTTTAATATAAATATCATGAATGTAGAAATCAATTGATAATTTAGCTTTTCACTCCACATTTTTTATTAACACATATACAATGTTCGAATTAAAGTTACAAGGTCCATCTAAACTTAGTAATTTTGACTCAGACGATGTATATGAGGCGAAACTAAGATTTGAAATTTTTAGCGCACCAATATTAAGTTAAAAAAGATGCTCCACTTGAGATAGAACCTTGGTCGCGTGGACAGATCTTTCAGCTTGTACCAGCGGTCCAAAGCACCATTCCATGCTTTCTACAGGGGCATTGCTAATAATATTTAGTTTATGTCAGATTATAAAGATTTATATATCTATTAGTATTTACTACTGCTTACTCAATCTCCATAATAAGAATTAATTGTCTCAATCATGAAATCAGTATTAACCAACGCTTGCTCCATCTCCATAATCCTCTTTATGGTGTTTTCCTCCAACACTTGCATTTCCTGGTGAACTTTGTCAGCATCTTTTTTTTTTTGCCTCAACATTTTAAGTTCAGCCTAGTCCTTGCAAAGCCTCCAAGTAGTCTGCATTACCTTCTCATTTGACCAATCAAAACACCCTTTGGGATCTTTGTACATTCTCTTCAAATGGCAAATTAACAACAATATAGCTTCATCTCTCCTATTTTGAAGGATATATTTCCCCAGAGACTCATCCTAATAGTCTGGCACCATAGAAGAAATAGTTGTGTTGCTTGGGCCTTTATGCTAGACTTAAGCTCCATGGACGACGAGGATTGAAAAGTAGAGCTGTAGAAGAAGACAGAGTGTGTGTTATTAACATAACTTATTTTTACTTTTGAGTTGACATGTATAAAATTGTTATAGGTAGCTAAAAAAATTTGTTGTCTGAATTTATTTTAGTAGAGACAAAAGACTTTACTCTCAGAGTCCTTCCAATGTTTACATAGACAATTCCAAACAAATTCAAATAAGCCATTAATGTACTATTAAAAACAAAAGTAATAGTATTTTCACCGTTACAACTTAGAATATGAAGTATTCCTTGCTTAATTGCCCTACATATCAAGTTTGAAACTTAGTTAATCATCGAGCACCAGTACTAATATAAAACAGGCCTGCAACAACAAATTTATTCACAACAATTAAGAAACCGTTATTATAGAGTGTCTATTGCAACAATGTGAACTGTGCCAAAAGATTTGGGTGCTTTGGATAGAGCTAAGTAATAAATTTGTTGCCACTCTGTGAAAACCGTTGGAATAGACTTACATATTGCAACAGTAAGTAGAACCATTGCAATAAAGTCATCTATGGAAACATTTAACACGAAATATTTTTTTATTGGAACGGTTATTAAATTGCTCCATGGTTTCCCTCTCTTATTTTGGTTAGATACTCCAAAAACATTTCAATATTCTACTTTATTTTTAATAAATTTCCTAAGTATAATTTATTTCATTCTATTAGATATAGATACAAACAAGGCAAACATTTTCTTAATTCATTTCTCATCTCTTCAACAAGCAAAACAAAAAGCGTTGTCACTCATCAGCTCACTAACCTAATTTTTCATCCGTTTTTGGGAAGCTTGTGAAGTTTTGCAGTGGTATGTGTTTTATTCGGAAAAAGAAAAATATTTTATTTGTTTAGAGTCGCCACTTGATTTTTAATGAAAAATCAAGAAAACTCAGTTTTTCAACAGATTAAAACAGGAAAAAAACTTAAAAAGGGTTCGGGGATTCTTGTTTATATTTTAGCAAGGTGTTTAAGGAACCTAAAATATCCGTTAATAGGATTTTGCAACAACTAACTTGTTTGACTAAAATGTCTAACTTTATTTTGAGAAAGAAAATTATTTAGAGTTTCTTTCGAAATGAAGTATTAAGTTTATCATCTAAGTGAATTTGTAAAATTTATTTTTAAGTTAATTACTTGATTGGATTGAGTCGTTGAAACCAAGTGGCGCCTTGCGGGGATTCGAACTTTTAACCCTAAAACTAACGGGAGATATTTAGCAAATAGTTATATATGAGAGAGAGAGAGAGAGAGAGAGAGATTTGGTCCGAATCCAATTTCTGTCCGCCTGGACAGAAATTGAAAGACAAGGGCTTAGCCCCAAAAAAAAATAATATAAAAATTAGAAACAAAATAAACTTGGGCCTTTATATTGCCCAATCTCTTCAACTCTTCCAATTTGCTTCGAATGCTTCAACTTTGAAATCTACACGTCGATTTTTAATGGTCGATTGACTTGATGAAGGGAATTTTGAACCTTTATGACTCTTTCATAATACAAAAGGAAAGTGATAGGAGTTTACGGAGAACTCGGGTAGATTTGACATGCAAGAAAACAAGCATGAATTAGTACCCAAATAACAATATCTCAAACTATAGCTAAATAAATTCTTAAAACCCTCATGTAATTGAAATGATTCTGAAAGTAAGCTACGCTAATCAATAGTCTAAGTGGCTTGATGAAATGAACTGAAACAGATAAAAACATAAATCCATTATACAAAACATGCTCCTTCGAATGCAATTTCCCAAACAAACAAACATAATATGCTAAAATCTAATCCAATAGTTCACTTAAATTAAGATACCGACGAGTTAGCATATTAAGACATGGTCATCCAAGCACTTGAATTCTTTTTCTAAATAGAATGCAAGGACCAATCAGAAGAAAACAAAATAACAAAGAAAACTTAAGTTGCTAGCTAAACTTACTAGCAATAACTAATTTTGAATTACAAATGTGACAAAAAGGGAGGAAACAGGACTGAAAAATGGAGCAAAAACAAAGGATATGCAAATTAATGAAACAGCAACCTCAGTGCTAATTTAACTCCCTCTTTTAGAACAAAGTCACCCTCCATATTTTCTCAAGAAGTTACAAACAGCAAGCTTGAATATTCGACACGATAGCCAGGCAAAATTTCCAAAATAAGAGCCATAGAGAACCCAAGACGAATAATATCGAGGTATAAGATGCGGCATGAAATGAATAGCAACATGATATTAAGGAAATTTCGAGCTACCAATGCCATCTTAAGCAAATTATACGATAAAAAAACCAAAGGAAAAAAGAAAGAAAGAAATAAAATATGGAACAAACTTGATAGGAGAAAGATGCATTTCATTTTTTCTTGTTAAGAGATTTTTAAGAAAAAGAAACTAAGTCTAACAACAGATCTATAACATTAAGGGGTCGTTTGGTAGAGTGTATAAGAATAATGCAAAATAGGGTGCATTAGTAATGCTTGCATTAGTAGTACTTGCATTATTAATACTTGCATTAGTTATGCAAGCATTATTTCTTATACATTGTTTGGTTTGATGTATAAGAAATAACAGATCTTGCATAATTTCTATTTGAAAATATATGTTTACAAAAATACCGTTCACACTTTTTTTTATTTTTACACTTTCTTGCAAGTTGCAACAAAGTCATTTATTAAAGCATCATCAACTCCTCCTCCTCCTCCTCTTCTTCTTCTTTCTTTTTTTTTCACAAATAATATTAAATAGTTATACTATTTGGGTCAAAATACTTTTGTGAAAAGTTGGAAATTTTTTTTTTATCAAATTTATCGCCACAATAGTAATTTTTCTTATTAAATTATGTTGAAATTAGATTATAATTTTTACAAAAATTATATTTAAGAGGATATAAAGTCTATTAAAACACCAACAAATTAAAAGACAAACAAAGAAAATTAAAAGAAAAGAAAATGTTAGGAAATGTTTCAAAAAGGCTTTGATGGTAGTTTTGTAATTATTTAATCTAATGCAAGTTTTAAATATAATGCATTGCATAATATTTTTAGAAAAAAAATTATTCGAAAAAAATACCCTCCACAAATATGGTGGAAAGGATATTAAAATTTTTTTTAAGGGCAATTGTGTCTTTTATAATGTTAATGCATGCATTAGAATCCATTGGATTTCTAATGTATAGAAATAGATGGTATTAGTAATACACTCTTTAATATACAATAGAGTGTATTACTAATATAAGTATTAGTTATGCATAGATCAAAAAAGTGTACCAAACAAGGTACTACTAATACATCAAGCTAATACATGCATTATTTTCTCTAATACACTCTACCAAACAACTAATCTGTGTATTACTAATACAAGTATTAGTTATACTATGATTAAAAAAGTGTACCAAACAAGGTACTACTATTACATCAAGCTAATACATGCATTATTTTCTCTAATACACTCTACCAAACAACTAAAGGTATTCATGATATCAAAAAAGAAACAACCAAGTGTTGACCTCCGAACACGCCTGCAAAAGAAAACCGAATATGCAGAGCATTCAAAACATTCAACATAGGAAGCAAATCTCGAACTAATTCCGAGCACAACAGAAAAATAATTGCTTAGCATTAGAAAGAGTAACGCTGGTATTTAGCTTACATGACATAAAAGATACAGACATCCATCAATACACATAAAAGTCGAGAAGAAAGAGATGAAACTAAATGAGGTAAAAGACGAGATTATCACCTTCTCCTGGGCAGCGAACGGAGACAGTACCGAGCTGAATAAACATGATCTATCACCACCAAGATGTGATCCCTAGAACTCCAAAGCGTAGCTAGGAACGATGAGAATAAGGACTAAACAGAAATCTTGATTCCCAGAAGCTATTCTAAATGCTTTTATATGATAGTATATCTAGAAATTTCAGTGTATGTTTTGTCCTTAAAAGGTTAGTCGATTCCTTTATTTTTCCAACTTTTCCCCCCAAACTTTGTGTAAGTCTTAATATTTTTCACAAAAAAAATCCTCCCACATTGAAGGAAAAAGAGAATATTTACAGTTTGAAATTCGGGCAAGAGCTTGGGGGAGGGGGGGACTGGGTACCGGGTAAGAATTCAGGGGTAAAACCGAAAATCCCCTTCGATTTTAAAATTCGAAAATCCTCTCTAAGGTACATGGCAGAAATTGGGTCTTATACCAAGAGAATGTCCAAGTTCCATAGGATCTTGACGAAGCAGCAGCATGGACGGCTCCGATTCTTCAGGCTTGTCCTCAAGTTGTTGCATGTCATTATCCCATAGCCATATGGACAAACAGACGCAGCTGCAAGGAAAATTCTTGCAGGCGAAAAGCTGCATATTGCTGTTGGTCGCCGAGAGTGGATCCATGTGCGCTGCTCTATTAACGTTTGAGAACATTGGAACCGTTTTGCACGCATTACACCGCTGAAGTTTGTCGTTGTCAGTCATCATCCTATCACTCTTGCAATTGTTCACGCTACTGGGTCTAAGGGGTAAGCGGTTGGGTTGGGTTAAGGGAATATAAGAGCTAAAAAAAATGAGGAAAGGATTTGGGGCAATTTCGGTGGGCTGCTGCGAAAATGGGTCTGGGAGTAAAATAGTCAATTTGAATTGGAATGTTGGGCTGCTACTGCCCATTTGAAAGGTTGGGGAAAATTATAAGTATAACATACATAAATATCATAGTGTAAAATCTAAATTATATTATATCCCTATTATTTTTATAATTACATAAATCTCATATTTTTTAGACATTTCAGATACATAATTAAGGCTCTGGATACATTATTGCTGATACATTATGTATCAATCTGTTGCACTTATTAAGGAAAAAAAGCTGTAAAATCAATTTAAAATCTCATAGTATCCATTTGTTCCACAAATTAAGGGGAAAACTGAAAATTAAATTAAGATCCACAAATTATGTTATTCCATTCAAAATTATTATCAAAAATTCAAAATCCTATATTGTAACAACCCAAAAAAATCAAAAAATTAAATTTCTTCTTCTTGTTCATCATTCTCTCTGTTTCATAAAAGAATATATCGATTTTGATAAAAGAATTGTTGTTGTACAAACTATTTCTTTTGTAAATCTTCATGTTCATCGAATATATTTTCGATTTTGATTCAAGATTATCGAAAATTTTGAGATTCTAAATTCTTATCCAGTCATTGAAGATCCTTTCCATTTTGATTCAAAATTGATAATAATTTTGAATTTCAAAATTATTCTCCTAGTTCGTTGAAGATTCTTTCAATTTTGATTACAAATTATCAAAATTTTTGAGAAGACACACCATGAAGATCCTTTCAATATAAATTGATAAGTGTTGTATTTCTACTAGGTACACTTAATAAGAAAGTGTTGCCCATAAAATTTTAGGTTTGAGATCAATATAATATTATTTGACAATTGTTATGTTACACATACATTTAGTATAAATTCAAATTTATGTATCATAACTAAAAAATTAGTGCATGATATATATTATTATTTATGTATGTTCTTTTGTTTGAGATCATGACGATCCTTTCGATTGAATTGATAAATATTATATTTCTACTAGATACATTAAATAAGTGTCGCCCATAAGATTTTAAGTTTGAGATTGATAGATTATTGTTTGATAATTGTTATGTATAAGATACATCTAGTATAAATTTGAATTTACGTATCATAACTAAAAAAATAGTGTTTGATACATTATTATTTATGTCTGTTATTTTATTTGAGAAATACAACACTTTCAATTTTTTAAAAAATACATTATAGTAATTGTTTGAGATCATACATTATTGTTTGGTAATTGTTATGTATCAGATACATTTTAGTATAAATTTGAATTTACGTATCATAACTAAAATAAGCGCTGATACATTAATCGTTAAGTAAGAAACATTACATTTTATACATGATACATTAATCTGATGCGTGAGATACATTATCTGATGCGTTGATACATTAATTTAATGCGCAAAAATGAGGGATTTTGAAAATTTATAAAACAATAGATTTAAAGCTCGAGCATGTGTCCTTCACAAATGTATCACGAATATAATTTGATATTGTGTACGAAAAGATATTCTTATAAATTTGAATAATCGTAGAAGATACATAGCAACACTTGATACATGAACAAATGATATATTTGGTAGAGACTACTTCTTTTCATTTCATAATGTAGTTTCAACAGCAAAAGAGGATCTCCTAAAACTGATTTTTTTGCAGGAAACAATATGAATACATTATATCTTTTACATTTCCCTTATGCATATTGTGAAGGTGAAAATGGAGGAAAATCCGATAATTCTTACGAAAAAATTATGAAGCGAACACTTGAGTTGTTTTGAAAAAAATCGTGGAGAGATATTACTGAAAATAGAGAGAATTAAATCTGAAAAATAATAAATAAAGGAAGTAAAGATTGAGGGAGTGAAAATAGAAAGAGATAGAGTGAGTAAAAATAGGAAGAGGTTGAGGGAGTGAAATAAGGAGTAAAAATAGAAAGAAAAACGTGTATAACTTTATGTATCTAGAACAATGGATTTGAAAGGAAAAAGAGGGAATTTTGAAATATTTTTAAATGATAGGGAATAATAGAAATTATGGAAAATAAAGATGTGTATATAGGTAATTTATCCTTTTAATTAACCAAAAAAAAAATCGGTTAAAACATATACAAGATGAATCAACATAAATTAATTAATGAGCACTTAAAAAGTCTACGAAATTTAAAATAATGAACTTAATTTTAAATTGGTTAGCTGAAAGATATAAATCATTATATAATTAAACTAACCAATCATTATTCAATTAAGACAAAATATTTTTTGAGGCGATTTTTGGATAATCATAAAATATATACAAAATTAAGTGAATCAATGCATTTTACTTAAGAAAAGGAAAAACCGATAAAATTAATTTAAAATGACTCGCCAAAACTTCAACTTCATAAAATCTAACTATTTCAAATCATTGAGAATTCAGAAGCTTGTTAATTAATTCCTATCGAGGAGGGTCAAAATTAGGTGTCGACAACTGTCCCTCATTTTACTCCGATTAATGCAAGAAATTCGAGGAAAATGAAGTTGACCAAACCAATTTTGGCCGACCACATATTCATCTTTAGGGAAGGGATTTGGTACGGACATGAGTAATTATAGTCGAACCCCGGAAATAGGTCTCCTACATATCTCAGGCTATATGAAAATTCAGGTCACTTGTAGTTCAATAGGCTTGATTTGACATACAATTTGAACGAATTCACCCCGATACCGAATTATGATGGACCAAAATGCTCGATAATAATATTTAAGAGAGAGTGTCGGAGTACAGCAAAGTTTACAACATTAAGACCGCCTACACATCCTTAAACCTCTAGGAATAATGTTTTTCGTAGTTTGACTTGATCAGTAGAAAAAGAAATTGATTATGTTAGATAACCTTTGGTTCTAGTTTAGTGACAAATTAAGCCGAGTAAGAAAAGGAGGCTCTGTAACCTCTTAGCCTTGAATGTGGTATGCTTCACACCCATAATTAAGCACTTACACAGACATAATTTTCAAAACTCTTAGTGCACTGTCACTCACATTGGAACTTGCTTCCGGCAGATGCCAAAATTTTAGTATGCGAAACTGAAATCTACAAACCAAAAGGAAAACCCACATGCTTTCTGATAGGGGTGTGGTTTGATTGTGGTGGAAGTCACTCATCTAGTCGCGACCTAAGAGTTTGACACTCCTCTCTTGACTATATCTCAGTTCGTTGCTAAGAAAAGCTTCCATGTTGTACTACATCCTTTTTGATGTCATCTGCACATGTGACTTTTTTTTTGAGAATTCATCCTTTCGGATTCTCTAAAAAAGATTGATATGAACTCATTCGCTTTAAAATGTCATGCTCCTGGCAGATAATGTCTTTTACCATGTTCACACTTAGTTTCTCTCCTTTTACATTTGAAGTCAACTAGATCGGTTTAACGTAAAACAAATAAAGCTTATGTCTTATGTTAACAGTATAATCTTCAATGTACTCTTTATATGATATTAAAATGAATAAAAGCTAATGCAATATAAATATTTCTCTTGATGTTCATACTTCACTCAATGAATTACATATGTTCATACTTCATTTGGTTAGGGCATGTTGGGACTTATCCCAATGATTGGCATGCCTTTGGCTATGGATTCATTGAATTACCTTAGATGTTCTTATATTGTCATTTCAATACTTTGGCTATTTATGATTGCCACAAAATTAGTATTGGCCTAGAAAATTTGAAAACTGACTTCATAGACAATTTATTGGCACAAACCAAAGGTACACTCATTCATGTTTAGTTTGGTATACTGATATACCGTAGTTTCACGGTATAATTAATACTTTTTCCTTAAGTTTAGTGTGTTCGAAAGCCCTTTTTGTGCTAATTTTGATATAAGTTTCTCTTTGTTTTGCAGGAAATCTGTCCAAAGCTGAATGCGGAGATTTTGAGCGAAAAATGCAGAAGAGACCACCTACGGAACTTATGACGGTCCGTCGTGCCTGTGACGGTCCGTAGGTGGCAGCGTAGAGAAGCTGCTGAAGGAATATGGGGAAGTCTGACCAAGTGTGGGATTACAAAGCTTGTGATGGTCCGTCATGGCTATGACGGTCCGTCCTGCAGGTTCGTCGTGAAGATCAGAGAAGTGATCGCAGTACCCAGATTCCAAGAGTTGAAGCATTTTGAAATGAGACCCTCGACAGACCGTTGTGTTTATGACGGTCCGTCACAGTTGCCGTCGAGGGGAATGAAGAAAGCAGCAGAAGAATTGCATCAAGTATGGGACGACAGAGTCCACGACGGTCCGTCATGACCACGATGGTCCGTCGCGTGGTCCGTCGATCCAGCCGCGTTTTGGCAGATTTCCAATAATTAGAATCCTTGTTTAATTAGGTTTTCATTTTTTTATAAATAGTTCGAAAAACCTTGTTTTTGAGGTTAGACTCGGTGATATTAAACATTATATTGTGAGACTTTGTGTTTTGAGTGTTTGATTGTTAGAGATTCTTACAAGTGATTTTTGGTGATTAATCAAGCAAATTTTTGGACTTTATTCTTTCTCATTGAAGTAAGTACATGAATTCTTGTTTACCATATTTGAATATTGTGTTTATGGCTATGAGGAACTAAACTCCATAACTAGGGTTGTGGGAACCATAGGCAAATAATGAGATAAAACCTATCTAAAATAACAATTCTAGAATCGTGTCTTGCATGTATTAATAATTCTTTCGCTTAGAAGTCTTTTTAACGGATGATCAACGTTAGATTTCGCCTTAATGCTACTTGCTGGACCAAGGAGGTAGATAATAAGAAAAGAATTATTAACATAGATTTAGTGTATACTATCTAATAGGCTAGTATTGATTGATACGAGGTAATAACTTAGTCAAATATCGAATGCGATGCTTAATATGAGGTAAGGATAAGGGTTAGGAAAGCAACACACGTAGCCGGACCAAGGTGCGGAGTGAGATTTTCTATATGCCGGACCAAGGATTTAGAAATACATAACTTATCACTTTGCATGCAAGA